AGCATGTATCAAAAACAGTAAGAAGAAATTGCTTCTGTACTAAACATATGCAGATTTTTGTTTCTTACCATTCCTTAAATGATATAGTATAAAAATTATTTTCACAGCATTACACTGTAGTGGGTATTATAAGTAATCTAGAAATGATTTAAAGTATACAGGAGGATGTTCATAGGTTATATGCAAATATTGTGCCACTTCATATAAGGGACTGGAGCATCCATGGATTTTGGTATGTGAGGGAGGTCCTGGAACCAATCCCCCATGGATACCGAGGCCTGACTGTTCTACATCTTCTTTATCTTTTAATCCTTATGACTCCTGGTATGATGTCCTTCACCCAAAAGCTCAATAAGAATGTGCTTCAAGTTCATCTTTATGACTGATATTGAGTATCATAAACAGTTTTTTTCTAAAACTTTTACTGCCAGGGACTTCTATTTCTCTCATATACTCATTTTAAGATAAGTGAAGATGAATATTCTATTAAGGTAAGTTTCTCAGAGAAAGGTGCCACAAACATGGTAGTATAGCTCCCCACTGCATAAACATGAGCCAAAATGAAGACAAATGAACAAGTGGCTGCTGTCATCATGGTGCGATTACAACTAAGAATGATTCAAAAACTGAGTGATGGCTTTCAGCCAGAGGAGGGAAGAGAAGGCACACCGCCCACTCACACATCCTCCCTCTCACAGTATTTTAAATGGAGCAGCTCTATCATCTATGACCTGCTTAACAGCAACCTGGGTACAGTGAAAATATATTTAGTTTGTTCCTAGCATATAAATATTTACCTTGGGGATTGGAATTTTTAAGCATGAAAAACCAGTTAAGGAGTTCAAATATACAGCGCTATCTGAAGGCAAAACTCAAAGTTAATTTTTATTTAAATAAGCCATGTTTATAAAAGACTTTTTCTTAATCAGTTCAATGTAGTTAAAAATCCACTGCATACAGAACCCCCAGGCTGCTTTTAAGTAGTAACTTCAATGATAAGAACTGACTGAAATATTCTGAGTGACCTGCATAATAGAGAAACTAGAAAGCATTATTTCCTAAGATTCTAAACAACTCTGGTTTGGTGAATTCCTATTATGTGCTAAGAAGCTGGATTAGATGATCTCAAAAGCATTTGAAATTCTAAAAGCTATCAGCACAGTTCAAAAATACCATTTTAGAGGGGGACTGGCCAGTTAGCTCAGTTGGTTAGAGCATGGTGCAGTTAACACCAGGTCCAGGATTCAATCCCTGTATGGGCCAGACGCCAAAAAAAAAAAAAAAAAAAAATTTTAGAAAGAGTCCTAATAAAACAGTCCTAAACCCCAAACATAGTCAACATAGTTGAAGAGAACACTTTTAAACATTTTTAAAGATTTTTTTTTACCTGATCAAGGTGAGGCTGTGTTGCTGGCACATTTTGAAGTTTTTTCTGCAAACTGAGAACAACTAATTAATTCAGAGGTCGATAAAAAGTTAACTTCTGATTTAACCTTATACACTACCTACAGTCACAAAGCTAAGTAAGAGACGTTCCATAAATAAATCTATTCATAGTTATACTTTTACATGTTGTTCACATATTCTCATAGAGAAAAGCTGGCAGATTAAGTTCTAAAAAAATTTTCTTAAAAATACACACACATTCAAATACATACATATACACACAATAAAGAGAAAAACTGATCTTTTAGCAACACTATTTTGTGTAGTTAAAAATGTCAGTAGATTTCCTTATAATTCTAATAGGTCTAATACATAACCATTTTAGTACTGCTCAAAGTTTCTTAATTCTCCCCATACTTCCCTATATGAAAATAATGCTAGTATCTAAAGAAAGTTAGAATGGTAAATTTTTCTTTATCAATGTTTTCTCTTGAGCATATCTACTTATTAAAAAAAAATGCTATCCATAAATATAAACCTTCTATATAGTCTGTTACCAGTTGAGAGAAAAAAATCAGAATCTTAAAAATGCATTGTTCTGATATGAAAAGGGCAAAAAGATCAACATGGCGTAACAAATTACAACCATAACAACTGTAGCATACATTTAGACACTGATGGAGATAGGATGGGAGGGGGAAAAGGACTTAAAACCTTGCAGATGTTTTGCCTTGAAGAACAGTGAGGGGTAAATTAGTAACAGCAAGTTTAGGAAAGAGAAAGGGCTTGTAGGAACTGTTGGAGGGCGTTAGTCTCACTGGGGGGTCTTAGTAGTGAGAATGTCAAATTAAATCCTTCACAGCTGGTTGCTCAGGAAATGATTCTCCTGTTTAGCAGCTAAGCACAAAAAAAAAGTTATGCAAAGGCCTTATCTATAGTGGTGGGATCACATTAAACAGCTACTTCTTTAAGTGTCACTAAAGCATTATAACTGCTCTTAATCAAATGTAGAAGGAGATTAAGTTAGAAAATTTTTGAAAATGCCTATGCCTTTTCCATATGTTCAATATTTAATGTTGTTGGACAATGCCTAAAATTCCATATGCAAGCAAAAAGTCAAAAATTTAACAATGAACATTTAAATGTAGTTCTTAATAAGCCTCAGAATTTTATGCCCTTAATTTGTTCTCTATTGTACAAATAAAGGAAAGTACCATCTATTGTAGTGGTCAAGAATATAATACGAAAACCTGAAATCCATGAATCAAAATCCCAATTTTACATGCTTACTTGTAATCCTGTAAGAATTTTTGTCTCTACACTAATAAAGTGTGTAAGTTTAAAATAGTTTAGTGTTCTGTAAATAAATCATTATGTTTTGTAAAAGACAATAACTCAGTTCTTTTCATAATAAGATGGAACTAGCATGTTTTCTATTTCTTCCAAGTAAAAATTTAGAATTTTATAAAAGAACTGGATGCTTTGAAGAAACAGCAAATTATAGTAAATGACATAAGTAGAAAGGAAAAACAAAAACTGAATATCAAAGTGGGAAATAATTTCACACTATAATTCTTATTTTTGGAATAAAATACATAAAGGGAATAAACAAAGATTTCAACTAAGAAATATTTTAGCATTTTACATATTACATGACAACCAGTTTGCAAGGTCTTAGACCCAGCAGAGATAAACTAGTTTAAAAAGGTGAATTTCAAGCAATATTGTTTCACCTCCACCCCTTGTAAATACATTTAAATGTATCACAGGATCTGTAACCATCAAAACTGTCCATAGCCTCAAATAAAACAATATAGCTCTTATATATAAGCCAGATGGGGAGGATAAGAGAAAGGGAGCATGGCTAACTGCTGAAATAGTATTAACTTGGAATAAAAAGAAGAAAAGGATCAGCAAGATAAGGGATAAGATAGACTAGATTTCTGGTCATTTTAGAAATGGGTAGTAAAAGATAGAGGTTATGCTCCTACAATTAGATGACAGCCTCAGCCAACCTATCTCTCTAGTAAAGCCCGAACTAAGAAGGGAGAAAAGACCATTTTTAATTGACCAAACCAAGTTTATGCTAAGGGCTGTATTCATTTAAAGGGCCCTTCATTTCTTTTTTTTTTTTCCTTTTTGTCCTTTTTCGTGTCCGGCAACGGATCGCAACCCTCAGTGTCGCGCCCGTACCGGACTGGGACCGGCAACGGGATCGCAACCCTCGGTGTTGCTCCCACACCTCGCTCAGCCAGTGAGCGGGAACCGGTCTGTATGTGGGATCCGAACCCTTGGCGGGATGGCCACCCCGCTCCCGAACGGCGCCTTGTTGCGG